TAAGTAGATAAACATATTCAACTATATAGTCCTCCGAGATGACCTCTTTCCATTTTATGTTTCTGTTACACCTTTGCTGACTTTCCTTCTCCTTCTTTTTGCAAAATATGTAATAGGTAAAGGTAAGCAAATGGTATATGTGAGAGAAGAAAGTGAAGGAGAATTGGAAAGAGGTATACTCTAACACTTACTACTTTGAAATAAGAAATCATGATTACATTAGGGTCTTGTCTACTCTTCAGTTAGTAAGAAATGCTGTTTTATTGTTTTAAGTAACCTTTTTTTGCATTAAAACCACGAGGAAGCATTTACATTGATAGTCTTGCTGGGATGATTCAGTTTTATGTTTCTCATGTTTTGTAGCTGACACACAGACTTGGATATGTTCCTGTACTTGTACTCCATGCATGAAGGTGTATTTAATCTAAACAAATTTCACGCTGAAATTAATATCAAAACTTAATTTCTTAAAACCATAGAGCAGAAAATGTCTAACAGAGCATCTAGTCCAATTTCATTTAGGGTTTTAATGAGATTGCAGTAAAAGGCTGTTGTACTCATCGTTGAGTCCCTTATTGTACATATTATACAGAGGTTAAACTTAGGCCAAGGTATAGTTTACTAATAATTTGTTGAATTAGATTTTTGTCAAATTTATGATCTCATTAGGTTCTGCCTTACTTATCCAGGAATGTTCAATCATTCCCTTAGCCAACACATTTTATTGAGGACTTATTTCCTAGAGATACTTTCTGAGATACCCTTGAGAAGTTTATGATTAGTATCAGTGAGTAGAGATTTGGAGATTCCCTGGGTATACCAGCTGAGACGTGGTTTTGTGTATGCAGGAACTGTTTCTTGGGCTTTGAAATGATACCAAGAGTATAGGTTTATGCCAGAAAACCGCTCTCTCTGGAGAGGAAAAAGCACCAGTTTACTACAGTGCTTCCTGAAATTCCTGCCCCAGTACTGTTTCTGCAATACCCAATCTTCACTATTTTTTTTATCGTACAAACAGAAAATGTTAACTATCATCTAGTGGTGAGACAGTGCTTCTTTTTGCAGATGAAAGTAAGTGCCAGCAAGTACTGATTACCTTCTTAGAGAAAAGTCATTTTCATTTTATTTTTCAGTGTAGCCTTGTTGAATGGCTGAGTTCAGAAGAATAGTTTAATGAAAGTTTTTGTGATTACATTTTAAAAGTACTTTAACAAAGGGATTTTTCTAAGAATGGTTGGAATGTACACTAAATCTGAAAGAGATAGAACAGAGAATCTGTGTCAAAGCATTGTTTTTCACTGTCAAGTTTTTCAGATGTTTAATGAAGCTGGTGAAATACTTCCTTTTACCTCTTGTAATAAGCATCTTTCATAATCTTATTCACATTCCTCAGGTGTTTATGTCCCCAAATGGGTTTTATAGCCATGAGACCAAGGACGATTCATCATTTTTCACTCTCTATTCACCTCTCTTTTTAGTATTAAAGGGTTCAGATAAACACAGGGCCATATCCCTAAAGACTGTCTTTCTCAATGCCCCTTGTAGCTGGTTGTCATGTAATTGGGCCCCAGCTAATGAAATACATATAATAGTAATGTGAACAATTTCCAGTAACTTTCCTTGAAATAGAAGGTGCAGTGTGTCTCTTCTGTTGTTTGCATCAAGTGGAACATGAGTGTGATGTCAGGAGCTAGTGAAGCCATCTCAAGACACAGAAGGAAAGTTGTCTCTGGGGGCTTCAAGCCACAAGACAGGAGTTTGGTCTTCCCTGAAGCCACTTGCCAACCTCTAGCAACTAAGATACATCCACCTTGTTGAGCCTGTTACCACTTTGCTTTAATGGAGGCATAGGTATAGCCTAACCTTTTTCAAATATTTTAAAAATGTAAATTGAAAAGAGATCTGCGGAATATTTGCCTGATATTTACACTCCAGACAAAGGGTATTTTTATTGCAGGATTTCTCAGAGCTTTTACTATATGAATATTTAGAGTGAACTCCAAGAGGAGTTCTGAAGAGTTTCAAATATTTGATGGAGAAAATTACTTTGAAAGTGGGAACTTCTGTGGTGAGCACTATAACTTCAGGCAGTACAACTTCAGGAAGTTCGTAGTGGCTGAGCACATGATGAATGTTGAGAGTGGGGTGTGAAGAGGATGTCTACAGAATGGCTCGACGTATTTCAGAGCACTAAGTGTTGTGGAAAGTAAGAGATTGATCTTCAAAAGGAAAACTAAATCAATCATTGTAGGTACTCAGCTGATCATGATATGAAGACCAGTGATATCATTTCTAAATAAAAGTGGCTTAGACTGCTTCTTTGTTAACCTAGATTAGAAGACAGAAGGGCATCTTCTCCATTTATCTATGGCGGGGTTTATAGGTTGTTATATGGCTACAAGCAAACACTACATTTGCAATGCAAACCTAAGACCTCATTTCTTTGGTTCCTTTGTGAACAGTGCCCAGTGGGTGGAGGCTGAATTTTGCCCAGGTCCTTTCCTCTCCTCTCCTATTGCCACCACTGCTGGGAATATAGATACTGTGTTTGGTGAGATCTCTAGATGGACATATGCAGAGGCTTTTGGAACTAAGGGCTTAGAGCTGGGAGAGTGAGAGAAACACTTCAGGGCCTCATTTCCAGGGACAGTTGATGCATGCTATTTATATGTGGAATAAATTGCTCCAGCAAAGGGTAGGATCTGGGAGACCAGAATCCATTGAAGGCAACTGTGGAAGCAGAACTGTGTAATTACTGAGAGGTTTGGGTCAGAGAATAAGGGGATAGATAAGAAAAACAGTCAAAGTTTTCAAGGTGGGGTGAGTAGATTTGTGGCAAGACTACGATTGTCACCCGAGGGCTGAGGGATGGAAATGAAGGGAAGTCGCTAGTTTTGAGCAGTAGAAGCTTGTTGTTGATGGTGGTGGTCAGAGTCAGGGCTGCTGTACAGCATGGATGACCACAGGATGGTGTCGAGCCTGGCAGAGTGTAGATGAGACACATCCTCACTTTGCTGAACAGGGTTCTCAGAGGAAGTGTGGTACCATTGCCTTGTCCTCGTTAGATGTTTCTAGGTCCAGGAAGAACACTCAAGGGACCACAGCAGTGCTTACTGCCCCGGAGCACTCAGAGCCTCCAGCCAGGACACCCAGTGTTTTATTTATTTATTTCTTAGGCCACCCAGTTTTGATGGTACTTTATTTTAGAACCAATAGCAGGGAGGTCTTCCTTTTCATCAAAACAATGGCTTGATTGCATTTAGAATGCTCCTACAATGGTTTTACATTTACCTTTGTGAAAATATTACTCCTGAAACTGAGGAAAAAAGGAAAGGAAAGTATTAGCAGAAATGTTGAAGTCCAGATCTCCAGGTACTTCAAGAGGTGCCTCTTCATCAGATTCTTTCGTGCCCTGTAGGTCAGGGGTTGCTTCTATGCATTCGTGGAACCGGATGGTAGTTTCCTTGGCAATGTGCCTAGAGCTGTCTTAAGCTCTCCACCCCATGTTCTGTAGGAAGCTCAGTGTTCTCCCTTCAGTATCTGCTACTTCGGCTACTTCCCTGGGACTCATTGTATCAGTTAAGGTTCACTAGAGGAACAGATTCATATAAACACACACACACACACACACACACACACACGATTATATAAAGGACTTACTAAGTAGCCTAACAATGGTTGCCTGCAGTGGAGAATGCAAAATGGTCATTTGTACACTGCAGAGCCAGAGTCTGGACCTCACTGCAGCGTCCAGTGTGAGTCCATCTTGGAAAGCGGGAGGGTTGGCAGAGTCTACATCGGAAGCCTGAAGAAACTGGAGACGCCCAAAGCAATGGTGAAGACCAGGGCTCCTCGAAGAAGCGAAGGGGAAGACTTCCTTCTCCTTTTCCCTTTATCCCGTCCAGCTTACAAGCCTATCGGTTGGTGCCACCCACATCCGGGGTTGTCTTCCCTCCTGCTTGCAGCCCATATGTCGATCATCCACCCACACACCCAGAACTGCGCTCCGCTAAGCTGATAAAGCGTTTGTTAATCCTTCCAAACTGACTTAGCCCAATTAATGATCACACTAGTGTTCACCCTAGATTAGGTTCCCACTGAGCTTTAGATCTCACTTGGGTCTCAGCTCTGGGGGTTACTCTGATGTCCCTCCCTGCATACTCCAAAATGAGGCAAAGCACCTTCAAGCCAGACACTGGTGTGCACACTGGCTTTACAGGACATTTAGGGGCAGCTTCCCTGGAAAAGCCACACACGACCCGGTCAATGACCTGACTTCCTCGTGGGCTGGGATGTCCTTACGGCCTTCTCATCTGCAGGATGGAGGTGCTCTGTGTGGTGGCATCGCCGCCCACTGCCCCTCACTCCCCCACAGTTGCCCCTCTACACACGCTGCACACCCCACAGGGCACACTCAAGCCATCCCGGGGCTTCACAGCTTTCCCACAATACACAAACGCACCCGCCAACAGTCCCCTGCTTAACCCAGCCCATCCGGGTATTTTCCTAAACAGAGTTCCTTGGGGAGCTCATACAAGCTGTTAAAATGACATTTTTCTCTAACCTGCTACGTAATTTTTCAAAGATAAATATGTATTTATTCTTCAGCGACTGATGTGTCCCGATAATGCTGAAATAATTGCCTGTTTTTCCTGCTGCACGTGGTCTAAGTAGGGACTATTTATTTAAACAGAGTGAAAAAAGGAAATAATTATCATTATTTAATATGCACAGAGCTATATCCACAATATACTTAAAAGTGCGTACAATTATTGTCTACTGCGTATGGAGCTTCTTGTCTAATATATTAAATCATGCACGAAGGCATTAGGCCTGGTCCTGGGGGGCATCATGTTCAGCAGACTGAGAGGGAATCTGTATATGGCTGGGGTGTCCAAGGCCACATGTGCTTCAGGCGTTCCCAAAGGCACTCATTCTACATGAGATGCCAATAGGGCACAAGAGCTTAGGCTTTTAGATTGTGTTGTTCCCAAGGGGGTTTTATTTTTATTTGATTTTTTGAGGGAAACAAAGCCAAGACCAGTAAAGTAACATTTAGAACACACCCGGAAAGTTCCAGGCACTGTGCATGCGGTATTTGACTTCATCTTCAGAACAGTGCTGAGAGACAGCTTAAGGTCTGTTTTCAGATTAGAAATGCAGCATCTAAGGAAGGCGAGTGTCTGTTATTCTCTGGTCATCTTTATAAAAGCTTGGATTAGGGTTGACCCCTGGTCCCATCATGCTGTGATCATTCAGAGCATGAAAATGACAGTTCCCCATTATCACTTCTTGAACTTTGGACTCTTTTTTTCCTTGAAAACCATGAACACAGCACCTTGTAATTCTGCAAGAGGAGGAGTAAGCCAAATGTCATTCTGAGGGAGAAGAAAGCTGTCTCAATGAAGGTGTTGAGTCAGGAGGGCTATTTTCCCCTGTAGGTTCTTCTCCTGTTTGCTACAGTGGGAATTATTTGAGAGTAGCATGCATAATAAACATGTGATCTTATTTTTTAGAGACATGATAACTGATTCGGAGCTGGGTTTTGAGGGTCGTGTTCCTGGTGGAATGCCTGGTCCCTCCTTTATTGACTGTGTGACTCTAAGAAACCAGAGTAGCTTCTCTCTACAGTTTAGATTCTTCTTTTCTCTAGAGGTGATAGAAGATAATAATAGTAATATCTCATGAAATGATATGAATATTAAAATATGCAAATATATGGAAAGTGCCTCTAACAACATATGATACATAAGTGTATCAGAAATGGTATTATAAATTGATGAGGAACAAATGGCAATAGTAATGAAGACATGAATATGATCTATAGCTCAAAGCTGAAACACTGAAACAAAAACCCTGGTAACTGAACTACATTTTGTTAAAATTTTGCTAATTTTACTGTTATTTTAATAGCCAAAAGGTAGAAATGATCTAAACCCTAATGACAGAGAAGTAATTAAACAGATAAGTTTACATATGACGATAGCCACCAAAATATTTTTCCATGTAAATATATAGAAAAAGATGGAAACATTGTGTAAATATAACTAAGGATGTCACCTATCCAACCATCCATCCATCCATCCATCCAGGCATCCGTCCATCCATCCATCCATCCACCCAGGCATCCATCCATCCATCCATCCACACACGTCCACATACATACACATATACATCCATCCACATATACATCAATACAGGACTGGAAGAAAATACAGCTGTATGTTAATGGTAATCTCTTGACAGAATGATTATGAATAATTTAAATTTTCCCAGTTTTCTTCCACGAGTTTCCAATATTTTTACAATCATAAAATAAAACTGATATAAAATAATAAAATAAATCCAGTCCATTCAGATGACAGAATAAACAAGCTATGCTGTCACATAATCTCTGCTTGTACAGTTGTATGGAGGCATCACAGGAGTGGCTAGAGAGGCACTGTGTTCACCTCCCCTCACTACACCCTGAGCACAAAGTACTACATGTTTTAGATGTGATAGAGTTTTATTTCCTGTTTCACAATTACTGTTTGCTTCTAATTATTTAGCAGTAAGCTTAAGGAATGAACATTATGATAGCAGCAGAAAGGACTTTTTCATAATCCTGAATACTTGAGAGTTCAGCAAAATATTATTTTTCTTACACAAAATGTATATAGAATGAAACTTATTTTAGAAGCAATCTGTCCAACATTTTTAGATAGATTGATTGATTGAACCAGGGATCCAACCTAGGGCTTTTGCATGGACCTGCATCCCAGCAGGATGGCAGGGTTTCACTAAATTCCCCAGGCAGAACTCTAACTTGCAATGCTCTTGTCTCAGCCTCCCAGGGTGCTGGGTTCATGCCTGGCTCATACTGTGTTTTATTTTCTGAAAGAATGATGCATTTTGAACCTATACTCACAGCCTGCCTAAGCAACCCAGTCAGCTGATTAAAAACCTTTGCTCCGAACAGAATAACTCTGAGAATGTCTGTGACAGATGCCAATATCTGTTGCATTTTCTTTGCTTGTAAGCTGGCTTTCTGCAAGTTTTAACTTGTCCACTGCATACCCTGTGATGGGCAAACCCTGAGCCTCAGGAGAGGGCTGGCAATTCTGCACAGACTATTTTAACACCTCGGGCCTTGTCTCCTCCATCTGTGCAACAAACGCCCCTCAGAACCCTTGCCTGGGTGTCAGGTTGACTCTTGATGGGCTGTGGATGTCAGTGGGATCGTAAAGCATTTCAGTCCCATTTTGTGTTTTGTTGTTGAAATGTGGTTGTGGAATCTGGTGGCAGATCTATGTCAGCAGGTGAGGGGTGAGCTCCCACTTGGGCTGTGATTCCTCACCTCACGGAGGCCTTCTTAGACCAAGAGAAGCATTTACTCCAGGCCTCCTCTTTGCTTCTGAGCCAATCACTTTGCCAGCTGCATTGAACAGATAAGATTCTAGTCTAAGACCAGACAGGGATATCAAGGGTGTAAATGAAACAAACGAAAGCTCCCAATTGACCGGTTCCATAAATAGGCTAAGAGCTCACTGCCTGCAGGAGCATTTCTGTGGGTTCACTATCATGGAGGTCAACCTGAATCAGAGAAGGACTGGATTAGCTGTAAAACCAGTGGATACAGCTGAGTTCAGAAGTCAAACTTCTCTTTTTTCCCCTCAGTAAAATCTGGTAAATGACTGAGGTTATGAAAGGGAGGATCCTGATCCTAGGATGCATTCACCATGAGCTGCTTCCCCACAGGATTAGGGAAGGCAGCAGAGCAGAGCGCTGAGTTGGCTTCCTGATAGCACCCTGAGCTCCGGCAGGTCCCTCTCCCCAAGGAAGGAAGAGCTGCCTTGGGAGGTTAAAGTCCAGAGGAATCTTCCCAGTAAGCCACAGGGCCCACCTGTGACCAGCCTGCTGCTCCCACAAGGGACAGGGACATTCATTCCTCTCGGTATTTCTCAGAGGACAGAGAGGGGTTTGATACAGAAGGCATCTTTTAGAGCAAAGAGTTGTGGGTTTTGAGGTTTTGAATTACTTTAAGCTTAAGTCTAACTTGACAGTTAACAAAGTGTATAAATTGAAAGGCAAGAGATACTGCATTTTCAAAAATAGAAATATGGAGCCATTAATGATCTCTAAAATAGATTTTCTTGACAGTCATTCAAAAATAGATTTTCATCAACCACAATCTTTTCATTGTCTCACATCTGTTTAAAAATAGTAAAATTGCCTATATCCTGGTAACGTCAGTTGATGAGATTAATTTACAAAATACCTGAGCAGATAGAAGAACTGAAATTGAAAAGGAAAAGCCAGGTGTGGTGGCACACTCCTGTAATCCTGGCATTCTGGGCGGCTGAGACAGGAGGATCACAAGGTTAAGCCCAGCCTAGGTGACTGAAGGACTTAGTGAAATCTTGTCTCAAAAAAAGAAATAAAAAAATGGACTGGGAATGTAGCCCAGTGTGAAGGTACTGAGTTTAATTCCTAGTATTAAAACATAACAAAAACAAAAACAAGAAAGGAGAAAAGTCAGGCAAAGTATTAATGCTTGCATTATCTTTCCAAGTTGATAATGCCTTGAACAAACAACATTTGCTTCATAATCTATACTTCTTGGCCTTCATTAATTTTATAATACTTGTAAATATGCCTCCAAATTACTTAAAATCCTATTCTTAAATTATTAATGGCAACACTAAGACCTTGAGACATCTAATTCTTTGCATCATTTACTGTCGACTTTAAAATGTCATGTTAGTAACTAAACACATCATTCATGTGTTTCTAGTTGCTTACATAAGATATTGCTTAAATAAAAAATCTCTGAAAACATTAATGTGCAACATAAATATCTCTGCAGTGACTCAGAAGGAAGACTATCTATGCAGTGACAGTTCTGTGTTTTTTAGACAACTAGACTAATGCATCAAAGGTTTCAACACTCTTCTTAAAAGGAAAAAGATTTCTTTGAATTCACATTGAATAAATAATCTCTTCAGAGCTACACAATTTTTTGTTTGATGACCTGTATTAAATGTAATAAACTATAAGAAAGGTTCCTTACTCTAAATATGTCAGTGCTTTAGTGGAGACGCCTCAAGATCTTAGCTGAATGCTTTTGATTTCAGCAATGATGAATTAGTGATATGTATATTAATTTCCAGGCTAGGCAGAAATTTCCAGAAACTCCTACTTAGTATTATTTAGTACTCAAGTTAAAGCACTATTACCATCTTTGCAATGGTGTTCATTCATATTATCCTTTCAGTTCTCAAGGTACCCTTGAATGGCCTTGTTAATAGAAGGAAAACTAAATCTCAAACTGAGCAATTTTGCTAAAATACAGTCCATGGGATCTGCCTCCAAAGTTTATAGTCAATTCACATCCTACTTGCTTCTTAAAAATGGTAAATTCTACTTTAATCTTTGCACAGTAGAGGGATAGTAGTCCAAGAAGTATGTACAATAAAAGATTTTGATTTGTTAGTTTTTCACTGTTTCGTTCTTAAATTTGGTTTAAGATTATGTTACTTTGATCTCATTCTGGTTTGTGTCTATATTTTATTTCAAATAATTCCTTATTTTTGCAACTCTTGAAATTATTTTGGAAAGAATAAAATTGAAGCCAAGGCAGTCTATTGGGGTAAGCAGAGGTGGACACCAGGGAGAGACATTTCCTTGGAGGTCCTAGAATCCTTTGGACCAACACTACCCTTGGAATCTCTTGAAATCTATGAGTTTCACCAGAAGAAAAGTCTGGGACTCAAATTCTTTTATTTTAATTTTTTCCATTTTATTAGTGTGTGTTTGTGATACATGATGAATATATTCATCGTGGGTGATTGGTACATATCCATATTGCATCTTGATCCCCTTTATTTTCCCTTCCCCTCTCCTCGCTCTCATCTGTGCCCACCTCCAGCCCCCTCTCATCTGCACAAAGCCCAGCACTCTGTATCTAGTATTCTTTGCAGGGACTCATGTAAGCCATTGGACACACTGGCACAGTATTCCCTAATGGAATGCGTTCAGATTTGAACATTTAGCTCATTACTCTTAGATTCATTTTCCTCCCCTTTTCAAATCTTTTAAAAGTTATTTTTCATGTAGAAATTGGGAGAAAAATCCATCTAGTTTTGAATGAAATTTTTCAGAGGTTGTGAAAAAAAGTGTAATACCTTCTAGTCCAGATAGCATGATTTAAATTCTGCATTTGACAGTGGTTTTTGCACATTAAAAAAATACCCAGAGTGAACTCTTTGTAATTTTAGAGTGACAAAAGAAAAATATCCCAAGAGGCAGCTAAAGGGCCTTTGCAGGGTGTTATAAGAAGTGTTAGCCACAGGCTAAACATTGTGAATTAGGTAATCATGGACATAATTGAAAGTACTCAGGAGAAGTGCCTCAAATGCGTGCTGAGATTCTGACATCGGCAACATACAATCTTTTTTTCTTTCTTTAAAAAAAATTAAAAAGAAATTTTAAAATAAATTTTATTTTATCTTATCCTTTTTCTCCCACAAGCCATACAATCATAATGTGTTCATATAAAGATCAATATATATTGAATTATGGTGGATTTTACTGATATTTATGAGTTGAATGCTATCACCATTATCTATAAGACAAAACTCCAAATTGGTTACAATGTATGCAGCCATAGTTTTTCCATTTTATGCCAAGCCAGACATAACCAGAATGTAAGTTAAGTCAAGGCTTTTTAACATTTCTTCCACGAAGAACCAAGGATTCCTTTTATTGTGTGTGTGTGTGTGTGTGTGTGTGTGTGTGTGTGTACACCATTGGTTTGACAGGTCTTTAATCTCTAAATAAGCTGCATTCTTTAAAAATTAGAATAAAATATCTGTGAAAATATCTGAGTTAAATGGAACTTCAGAGTGGCATTGAAAAATTGGCAGTTTAGTATTTTTACCTTTTGATAATCTGCATTTTTGCTGAACATATTTAAAAAACCCAAGTAAACAAATCCAATCTAAATGAATATTCATTCATTGCTCAAATGGATACTATAGTAGGTATGTATGTATGCGTAGGGAAATAACTAATGAAATTCAAGATCTAGTGAAAAGAAACTTCTCATTTTAGTTAGCTTATGCAAGATTTCTTTAGAAATATATAGCATTTCAGTAGGACTGTAGAAAAACTAAATTCAAGAGGTACAGGCGAATAAGGTGGGATTCTCTATGTTACAATAATTATGCACTCAGGGATGCTATTGTGGTATCCAAAAAGAGTATTTCAGGAGAATGTATGATAAAGGACATTACAGAAGGAAGTGTCACCCCCATGCACAGACAGGGATGGGCTAAGGCAGCAGTAGTGGATATGGTACTGATCATTCCTCACATACTAGTGCCCACAGTATGGCTGTTAACAGAACCCCAGCACATATTACTTCACCATTTTTGACTTGCCAAAATGAAGCCCAAGAAATGGGTAATTTGCAGAAGGTCAGGTGATTAGAATTGGTGGTCACTGGAGTTGTATTTAAGTCAAGATATCCCTTTCCTGGCTTGAAATTGTGCAATAATTAAAGCTTGTTATGAAGAAATGGGAAAACCCAAAGGGAGGAAACAGGCAAGAAAGAGACATTTAGCTGAAAAGGGTGCAAAAACTGGACCTGTAGAAAAAGAAGGAAAAAAAAAGAAAGAAAGAAAGTTGAAAGTTTTTAAGAAGAGAAATGCATTTACTATGAATTGGGAAATACAGCTCAATCATCAAGACAGCATTAAAAACCACAATTTTTCTACCTATTAAATTTCAGGTGTTCTAAATCAACACACACGAAATATCTGCTGCTAAAATTAAGTTAGAGGAGAATGAAACTATTTTTTACTTCATTCCTTAGATCAGAAAATTTACCTTTCAGTAAAGGCGATGTTTACTTTTGGCGCGAGGCACACACAGATGGCTTCAGCCATCTGCCAGAGGCCATTCTACCTCTTCTGGAAAGCCAGCATCCGAATGGGTGGCGAGTCCTCAGATTTCCTCCCGCCGAAGGCTGTGCGCATGGAAGGAAATTACATATTGTGGATTAGTTCTGTCTCATGCTGCTACTTCTTTTTCTCATGAATTCTATTTCCTATAAACACCATTAGTTGACGGATCAGTGGTTGGCTATTATTAACTAGGTTGGGTATATTTTTTAGTGTCCCTGCCCCAAAGTTGCTCAGCATGTTTTGAACCACACCATATGTCTCATGATACTACATTTTTGGGTCAAAATGATGTAATGCAAGCGAAGTCCCACAGATACCTATGGCTAAGGGGAAAGTCTTGGCTTTTTTCTAAGGCAAAACATTGGATTTAGCTCTCATGTCACTGTTTTTTATTATCTCATGACAGGTCCTAAGCTGTGGTTTCAGCAATGACAAACTAACTTACTTATTTGTAAAAATATTCTTTTTGGAGCTCATGAGATGTGTTGCTTTATTGACTCAAAATACATTTCAAATTAAGTTTAAAATTTTATTGATGAATTCTCCCCTTCTTTTAAATTTAAATGTGTATAGCACAGTGGTTAGGAGCGGTGCCACCTGTCACCATGACATGTTTCAATCTCTGGCTTTGCCATTCAATATCGGTGTGATCTTGGGCCAGTTATTTAACATTTCTGTGTCTTAGTTTTTCTATATCTAAAATAGAGATAATGACAATGAGTACTTATACTGCACAGTTTCAGTGGAAAGCTGAGTGTGTATTTGTGTGTAAATAAGTGGATTAATACATACAGTATTTAGAATAATGCTTTGTAGAAGACATTCAGTAAGTATTTGCTATTATTATTACTGCCACTATCATTCCTCTGTATCATTAAGCAATGTTTACCACATACCTACTTTGTGCTATGCAGAGGGCTTACAAAGATGAAAAGAGCTGCAGACAGAGTCTCTACTGTGGTACAGTTTTTGTCTATGGTGAAAGACAAGTAGAAAACAATTTATAAGCCAAAAAAAGAGCCAAACTAGTGACATGAGCTGCATGGATTAGCATAGGCTGCTAAAGTTAAAAGACAGGGCTACTTTCAACTGAGTGCCCACGAAGGGTTCTCCGAGTCTGTGACACTGCAAGTCAAATCTTTATGGTAATCAAAATTCAATCAAGAAGATATGAAAGAGAAAGGCATTGAACAAGAAGAGGGTAGCCAATAACAAGGCCATCAGAGAGAAAAACTGTGGAGCCTTCAGGGAAAAGAAAATCAGAGAGACTGGAGGGAGGGCCCAGGGCGGGGTCAGAAAGGCTGGTGAGGGTGGGCATGTGGACTGATGTAGGTCTAGGATGAAGTCTGGATTTGACTCTGCGAGCAACTGGAAGCCACTTCAGAGGAGGGACCGAGCATTAAGATTTAGAAAGATTCTTTTGACCCCTGAGTGGAGAGTGGCCTATGGGATTGGAGCAAATGAAGCAGAGATCAGCAAAGAGGGGAACAGTGTTAAAGGAGGTGGAAGACAGGATGGAAAGAAGAGGGAAGATCAGACTGAATTTGGGGGATTATTTTTGTGCCATGTTACCTACTAGACCACCTAGCAGACAAGCACCCCAAAGTACTTGATAACAGCGTTCTCAATTTGGAGCATATTTATTGAATACCTGCTTAGAGTCCAGTAGGGAAAATGGGCACGTGAAAATTAATGTGATAATGACTTGAAAGAAGCATGAATCTATGGTCTGATACTGCACACATTTGGCTGGGTCTTCCCAAAAGAATTCACTGGAGAAATGTATTTGATTTCAGCTTCAAATGACAGGAAGGAGTTTCAGCTTCAAATGACAGGAAGGAGTTTATCATGTTAGAGATGGGCAGAAACACATTCTAGTCAGAGAATGGGGGAACATGACCCAGAATCATGGATGTTCATAGAATATTGAGGGGAAATCATATCAGTTGGTTGATTAGAATATAGCGAATGGATAAAAGACAAGAATTATGAAGAGAAGAAATAATATGGTAGAACTCATATCTTGCAGGAAAGAGAATTCTGGGAAACTGGCAAGCTATAAAAATTTAAAAAATAGACAAAGGTGTACAATCTAAGAAAAAATTCACTAGTTACAAAATTAAAACTATATACCTTGATTTTAATTCTGGTAAGGATGTACCACAAAATCAAGGACATTTATTTGAGCAAATCTCTTCTCTATATAACACAATAAAATTAATATTCATTCTGCAGGGCTTGTAAACTAAAATAATAATAGGAATATAGAAGTTTTGTGCTTTAAAACATATTAACTTCTTATCATAGAAAGATTGATTAAAAATTTATTTTTATTCTTATTTTTATTTTTATTTTTTTTGGTACTGGGGATTGAACTTGGGACCTTGCGCTTGTGAGGCTGGTGGCGAAACCACTGAACCAAAACCCCAGACCCTTATTAAATAGTTTATGTGAACAAATGTCACAGGCACAGAAGTAACACTTTAGTATAGATATTCAATTGTAATAACAGTATTGACATTAAACTTATATAACAAAGATTTTGAAAACATTTTACACACAATATATGCGCAAGCATTACTATTGGAGAGAGTGAATATATTTACTATATCATGGATTTTCAACAATAACAAAAACACTACTAGGGCAAAAATAAATGAACAAAGCTTGAATGAACACTTCAGAAAGAAGGAAAGACAAATGGCTGAGATGTGAACTGTGCTATGATTTATACAGATGTAAGTCCATATATTTATGCTCACTTTTAGTTAAATAGGTAAGTTAAAATTCAACTTGTAGTATTAATCTAGTTCTTTGCAAGCAATTTGATAATATATAAAGATCCTTAGAATTTTCTATAGATTTGGTAGATAATTCTATTTGTGAGACTGTACCTTAACAAACCTAAGGAGGGAAATACATCTTCCTAAGAAGGAAAATATTTGTATCCATTACTTGCAACTGTAAAGGAACAAAATTTAAATTTTAACCATAGAAAGTTGCTTTAAGAATGAATATTAAAGTTATTCCATGTAATATATAGATTTTTAATAAAAATGAAAATTATTTAATAACATGATACATTTGTCCAATATAAAACCAAATAAAAAGGGAATAAAATTTATGTCCATTGTATGCTTAAAATACATGAAATACTTTTGGTAGAGGCAGTGAAATGAGAGATATTTACTAGGCTTGTATTTTTAGGGAAAGGGAGGTGAGTCACTATATTTTCCCCTCAATATTCCATGTTTTCTTGAACCAACAAGTAGTAATTTTGTAATATATCATTTCTTTGAAATTTTATGACTTTATTGTCAGACGAGGGATAAACTGTATGTTAAAGTGTAGGAAGCTAACCTCTGGAATTTTTAAATTTTTCTTTGTACTTTCTCTTACACAGTGCTAGGTACTGGTGACAAATGATGAAAAACTCTATCCCTGTCCTTAAGGAGCCTATTGCTAATCAGACACTTTGAGATATATTCATGGAACTGCCTGAACTGGATTCACAGGTGTTTTCAGACTGCTATTTTGTTCTGTAAGAATCAAATATTAGGCTTGAATTATGCTCTTATTTGAGTATTAATTGAATGTTTAATGAGGAAACTCTATTTCTCCAGATTGCTAATTATTAGGTGATAAGGCACCAAACCAAATGCTCATTTTAACCAAAGCAAATGACGTCTCTATCTTCCCTGACTTATTGAACCATCTTCTTGTGATGAAAGGAGATAAAATTGGTTGCCATGGTGAGGTTTTCATTAAATTTATCTTAAGATTAGTCAGTCTTTGGATGTAAATATTTTTCTTAATTTGTTTCTATTTGAACAATACAGTATGCTTTTCCCCATATGTTTTAGTTATCTTTTATCACTAGAAATTTCCAGATTAAATGTGTAGCTTTATTTATTATCAGTTTAAATGATTTGAAGAATTGAATTAACATGTTCACAGTAAAAAGTTAAAATGTAACAGACCAGTCAGAAGTGAGAAGCAAACTTCTCCTTTTCCTATCATTTTCCATTTCACTCATTAAAACTTTTATTGAGGTTTTTGTATGTATTTGTATATATTATTCCAGAAATTTTCCTGTATATGCAACACTATGTGTGTGTATAATGTAATACTACTTACATAGTTTTACATCATGTCTGTTTTGTTTTTATATCAAATGATATCATAGAATAATACTGCTCAGTGTTTTTACTTAATGAAATACCACGCAAAACTTTTCACACCATTTTAAAATCATCTTTACTGTTCTATGTCTATATATTTCTTTGTATGGATTATTGGGAATTATTTCACCAGCCCTTAAAGAATGAGCCAATGAACTGAGTTCTTACAGCTTCCGTGAATCTGTGCTGGGTACCAGATGGGATCTGTCCCCAGAGTGGTCACGTTTTTGTGCCATGATGATGATGATGAGGAGGAGGAGGAGGAGGAGGAGGAGGAGGAGGAGGCAGTACCGGGGATTAAACCTAGGGCCTTAGCACTGAGCTACATCCTCACTCCTTTTTTATTTTTTATTTTGAGATGGGGTCTTACTAAGTTGCTAAGTTGCCCAAGTTAGGCTTGAATTTGATATCCTTCTGTCTCAGCCTCCCAGAGCGCTGTGTTTATAAGCGTGCACCACCACATCTAGCTCATTTTTTATGTCTTTACAGATGGTGTTTATATTGCTCTCAGCTTTTTATTATTGAAATATTTTTCCACTATTGCATTATTTTCACTCTTAAGGCACTTTTCTATTACAATCAATTATATATTTAATGTTATTAGAAGTATGTTTGATTCTAATCTGATGTCAAGTATACTAGTGCGGTTGACGACTTATTGCTTTACTTTGTGTCTGTTTTTAAATTTACTTTTATTGCTTTTGTACTTTTTGAGGCATAAAAATGTCAGCTGAACTGAATCAGTTTCTTTTAGGAGCATTCATAATACTCTTAGATAACACATTTGAGCAACATTTTCCTGATTATTAACTTTATACAGTTTTTGCCTATCTTGAAAATGAGAGAATTGCTAGGTTTATATTTTCTTTTCCTCCTCAACT